ACGTCAACAACCCGCCGTACAGTACGAATAGTCAACCGTAGTCCAACTCATCCATACTATACAAGGCGTCATGAATATCATTCACACATAGTACATCCATAAACAAACATAATGTAAAACATTCATTTAAAACAGCGGAAGCATTTAATAGAAGTGTCTTAGCCACACTTTGGCAAACATGGGCATGCAAGCCCCCAAATAGTTATTCAAAATAATATCCATGAGCACTATTATAATTGTTTTGAAAATAGGAAACAGAAGAAGCACGAACCACGTCTTCTCCCTTGAAAATCCCCGAAGCAACGGGCGCCGGTAGCAACCTTCAAGTTCTACCTGAAACTGTGAGGTGGCCTCCCCCGTGAAGAGGAGGTCAGTACTTGGAAATATTTGACAAGTACAATAGCAACTATACTAAGTATAATCAACGTTTTAATTTCCAAGACCCTCAAAATAGGGTGATATCATAATATAAATAATAATTTATATTTCCCACTTATTATCTTTATAATAAGTAAATTTATTTATTTGTCGGCACACGGCCCTTCTTATATATCCTTTTTCATTTATCATTTGCACAACCCAACCCTTGGGTCCTATTATTTCTACGGGACTTGCTACCGCTGTCCGAGACCTCATGAGGCTCCCGGTTCGGACTCCAACATCCCGCCCCTGGACTCGTACCCATCATCCCGTAGGAAGGTAAGGCCCTTCGGGGTCCTATCTTATGTGTTACCGCTACCGGAACCTAGTTAGGTCTCCGATTCGGATTCCACCCTAACCCGTGATCACGATGTAAGTCCATGCTATCCAACCCCGCTCTCTAGAGTCGGGAAGGGCCATGGTCCTTACTATTTCCATAATTCAACCGGCTATCCACAAGAATCACCGATCACACCCGTAGGCCAATCCTATACTTAGGATCAATTTAATATTCACACTATCTTGGGTATCCCTTAAGGCCTACCCCTAGTATAACTTAAAGTTCATACTTTCCTACCTTAAAGCATTTCTTAAGACTACTTAAGGCATAACATTTCACAATCCAACCATTGGATCAATCTTAACAACATTTCATTTTAATGTCCAACTAGTATCTTAATACTAGTCAAATTAATATCAACAAACCAAGTTCTCAACTCATAGTCATATAGACAATCCCAACTGATTTTCCTTTGAAAACATCATTTATCTCAATATCCAAAATATCACTTTTAATCACTCATATATTCTAATATGAAGAAAAAAGTATATTTCAACACATGTTTCATAATAAATTCCACTTTCAAGTCGACATAGTCATAACACATGAACATACACAATTTATTCTTAAATTTGTATATCATGATCCTTTTTCTCTAGACATTTAGTCTTTTCATTCTTAGGCATTATTAATCATTAATAATCCATAAAAACACATTTAATTACCTTCGGTAATCTCATGAAATTAACTCACTAATTATACGCAATATAGTCAGCCATCCTCACCTCGAATTTGCTTGAAGAAGCTCTACCCTTCTAGGTTGAACTCTGGCAATACTCCGGTGAACTCCGGCGAAACTCCGACGAGACTCCGGCGAGACTTAGGAACACTTTAGTCAAGTTCCTAACAAGGTTTTATCATCACAAAACCCATATCAACACAAATAACCCTTGAAAGGTTATTTTCCGGCGAACCGGTCATTTGGCTTCTAAGTCCGTTCTTGGACTTAGAACTACCTTCCAACCCCTTGTTCTACACTTCTAAACATGAAGAACAATCCTAGGGGTCCTAAGTATGATATATAAGTCTTAGGGTAGCTAAGAAGTAGAGAAAAAGTTAGTATGAGGTCATTACCTTGATTCTTCACACTTTTTCTACCTTTCTTCTTCTCCAAACCTCTTCCTTTTTTCTTGTTTGAGTTTGAGCTCGAGTTGGCTATGGAAGGTGAGATTTTCAGAGCTCCTTGGCCTTCTTTTCTTGGTGCTGGACGAGTACAATGAGTGGGAGAGGAGGGAGGATGGTACTTTTGTCCTTGGTTGACAATTGGGTGAGGTTAGGGGTCCCTTAGGTGTCAAGATGGTCTCCCCCATCCCTTCAATGGATTTCAGCCACCCTTTAGCTCATGCCAGCCTCCAAGAGCTGGGAAAATTCGTGGGTTGGCCCCCACTTGTGTGGGAGGTCACCCCTTTTTGTCCAGGCGTGCACAATCGGTCCCGAAAGTTGCATTTTTCGGCCCGTTTTATTCATATTTTATTTTATCGGGTCAAATAAAATATATTCCCCAACATTAATTTAGGAGTCTCCGAAACTCATTTCGGGCTGTTATCCGTTAAATTGCCAATATCGGTAATTGGGCCCCGTTTGACCAACCGGTCAACTCCATGCCTTTCTCATGGCCCAAATAAAATATCCACCACCATATACATATTATCTAGACCAAGATGAATATAATATGTGGTTCGGGAATTATCGGGCGATCCACGTTCCCGCTGTGGGCCCCACATGCAATTTACTATTCACGTAAAAGATAATGAAATTTAACAATTACGTAAATTCATAAATCATCCTTCAAGGTTTATTACATAATATACTAAAAGTAAATATGCTCGGGGTCGGTGTTACACTCATGGCTAGACTGGAAGGCAGGCTCCCCACTGGGCTGGAAGGCAGACTCTCTTGGGCTTCCGGTTGGGCCGGTAGGCAGGTTCTCCACTGGGCTGGAAGGCAGGCTCCCCGCTGGCCGGGTTGGAGGGCAGGCTCCCCGTTGGACCGATCGACATGCTCTCTTGGGCTTCCGCTCCTTGATTGGCCTGGTCGATTGGGCCGACTCGAGCTCTGGGTTGCTGGGCTAGGGCCTGCTGGTCCAAGTTCAGGGTCTGGGCCGAATAAGCTCTGGGCCTAGTCCCATAACCCCATCAGTGATAATCATTAACGAGCGCTTCTCAATTCTCATTATTCTATGATGAAAACCTTTTCTTTTCTTTTATAAATTTGTTAACTAACCCCCTTCTGCTCTCGTCAGAAAAAAACTACCCCCTTGTGTTATTGGACTTTGAACCTATGGATATACAGTACCAGAGTGGTTAGCATTTCAATTCTTTAATACTTCTTGATTTTTTCTATACATGTTTCACATTTAACGGTTAGCGGATAACATATCATGTCAACAAATTGTCAACAACGGATTCAGTCAACGGATTGAGCGAAATAAGTTGATGATTTGCTAGAAGATGTTTGACAATTTAGCTGTTTGGTCATAACAATTAGTAGATAACTTCATATTTCAAAACATTAACCCAGAAATCTTCTATTTGCAGTGTTTCCATTTCAGCGATTTCGTCCAAAAGCGCAAGGCAGAACAACTATTTATCAAACAAGATTTTCAGTTATTTAAAACACTAAAAGGGTCAAACTACCATTTTTTGGCTGAAATGTCGTTTTCCAAACACACCCTTTATGATTGCTTATTTTTTTAAGTAATGTAGTACACTAGTACTCCCTATTTAAAGATAGCTATATACTCCGTATGATTTTAGTACTTCGTACATTTAGGGATGGACCCGGGCCGGTCCGATTCCGGTTCTGGGCCGGGCCCAGGCGGGCTTTTTTTTCAAATTGTTGGGCCTGGAACCGGCCCGGGTTGATACCGGGTCCGGGTCGTGCTCGGGTCCAGGTAATTTTTTTATTTGCTTTCTAATTAACCCCCGACCCCCCCCTCACCCCTACCCCCCAAACCCCCCAAACACCCCAACCCTAACCCAGAAAAACAAAAAATTGAAAAAACCAAAAAAAAAAAAAGCCCGGGCCCGGACCGAACCGCCCGGGCCGGTTCAACAAATACAGGGCCCGAGCCCGCCCCGCCCAACCCTCCCCAACCGGGTAAAAGCCCGGGCCCGGTTAGCACCAACCGGGCCGGTCCGGGTCAAACCGGTTGGGTCCACCCCTACGTCAAATATTAATACATTTTCAATTTCTTCAAATCTTTAATTATTTAAATAATGACGGAATGTTACTCTTGAGTTTTGAGTACACAAATATAAGACCATATCTAAATCTGGACAAGAATGAGACTAATCAAGATTTTAAATGGCAATATTGCCCGTGAAATGAAATCAGCCATAATCCCTGCTAGGTTGCTACAATCTTCATTTGTCCATCATGCAGACGTCATTATAATCTAAAATAATTTTAAAATGTAATTATACATTGGTGAGGTATTAAGAGTCTAAAATGGCATTTTTGGACTCCTAATTTCATGCATTGGTGAGTTAAAGAGGGTAGTAAAAATGAGTATGGGAAGGGATATGGTTAAATTTAGAGGATGTTTTGACAGTCAAAGAGAAAATGAAAAAGAAATTAAAATGGTGGAGTGGGGCAGACGGGATTTGTGTGCAGATGGAAAAGACCAAGTGGCCAGGTGCGCTGCGCTTCATCTCTCTCTGCCGCTGTCAAAGACATTCATCGCCACGTAGGAGCAAAGCAGAAGGAGCAGGCAAGAGGTTGGAGATGGGGGCAAAGTCGTAGAATAGAAGAAAGAAGGAGAATGAGAGATTAGAAGATGACATATCTTGTTGGAGGAGGCGGCGGTGATGAGTAGGGGTGGCGGCGATAAGAGCGCGGCGATGATAGGTGTGGGTGAAGACATGAAGAATAAGAGAAAGAGAGATTGTGCATTAGGGTTTTGAAGATTAAAATGTAAGACTGTTTAAAATGTCACTATGTAAGAATGTTTTAAACTGCTATTCACTTTTTCTATTACACAAAAAACACTTACTTTATTAAACACTACTCCGTATCAATTTTTACTTTTTCAGAAACACTTTTCTCTCAAACACAACCAACTTTTACTAATAAGTACTTTCTCTAAAATCATTTTTTGAAGCAGAAGGAATAGCAAACACTCCGTGTTTTCTATTGGAATTATTTTATTAATTAAAATTTAATTTAATTGATGTGAATAGTAACTTGAGGGTTTGGTATATAAATATACAATTACCCCTTAATAAAGGATAAAAGCACAGAAGACACAAAACCACTTAAACAAGATTCACATTTCCGGCCCACAGAAGTGACCATGGGCTTCTGGTGTTGTTCATACTGCGTGAGATCAGTTATAAACTAAACGACGACATTCTTCAGAAACCATATCTGCGTTCTAAGAAAGCAGCTAAACTCGTACCGTTTAGACTCCAAACTTTCCTCTCCGGTGTGTAGCCAGTAGCCTCTCGCAGAGTCGAAGATCGCTGCTCCTCCTCCTCCACCTCGCGAGTTCCATTCGCCACGGTCGTTCTTTTGCAGCGTCTCCCGTCGCCTCCAGCTCGCCAATTTGGATCCTCTTAACTCGTCTCCCGAGTCCTAGCCTAGTAACCACTAGCTCCGCACCAGCCTCCAGAATTCATATCTCTTCCTCGCCTCCATTGCCTCCAATCCTGGTTAGCCTTCTCCTTCACAAATTATAACCTAATTTTTGTAAACCTAATCTGCAATTCGCATCAATGATTCATTTTTCATAGCTAGCCTTGAGGTCAAATGGTTATTAATTCAGGATTGAGATTGAGAAAATATTGGGATTTAGATTTAGGAGATATGTTGTTGGGTTGTTAGTGCCTTAGTGGATTCTATACAAACTGAAGGCCTTCACTCATCAGTTTTTGTTCTTTCTTCATAAATGAATTGGAGGAGCAATGGACACTGGATATGAGTGTCACAGCGGTTGGCGTCAATTGTTGAGATTTCGCAGTATGATTTTTTGGTTAGTGTATTGATGCGGCAGTGTGGTTTTGGCTAAATTTATTGGCCCCATTTTGTTTCATTTATTGGTTTGGCAATATGTTTTTTTGCTTCGTTATTTTTTGATGTGGCAGTTTTTTTGATTTATTATTTGTGTTGATAGCAAGGATTTGTTGAAGAAAATTATATTCCATCCATGGAATGACTAATTAATATGAGTACTATTATGTTCATTTTAACAGTACTCTATTTTAGTTTTAATTTGGTTTCGAACACCCAAAACGTAATGGCTAGATCCGGCTGCCGGTGAAGTTTTGCCATACGCCCAAAAGGTGTTCGAGCCCCGTACAGATCAAATTATTAACAGAAAACACGAATTATTCGCGTTTCAGACTTTCAGCCTAATGGCAGGCAGGCATGGCATTCTCTTACTTTTCCTCTTCTAATTTTTCTTTGTCAGAGTCTTAAAATATCTATCAACAACAACAACATCCAAGCCTTAATCCCAAAAGATTGTGGGGTCGGCTAACATGAATAGATCTAATCTTTTGGACTTTGGTTTCCCATTAATCTTCTCAATTGTTTTAGAGTTGTTGACTAACAAACCGGCCTTTTGCTTTGCGTTGATCAGCTTGATCTCAACCGGCCTGAGGGAGCTTGAGGTAAACAGAACTGAAACTGCCTCCATGGAGTTTTGAACCACAGACCTCCCGTATAAAAGAGTGAATAGGCTAATTACTAATTACTATCTACAACAACAACATCTAATCCTTAATCCCAAAAGATTTTGGAATCGGCTAACATGAATCGATACATGATATCGGAATCAAAAGGAAAAGAAAGATACGAAAGATAAAAAGATAAGTGATGATGAAACAAATAATATATAAAAAGAGATAAGATAATCATAAAAGTGATAGAATAAAAAGCATAAAAGAATATATATGGAAAATGTTCATTTAAGGTAGGCCTAAAAGTTATAATCTTAGGCCTCTTTCATTTGAGCTGCTTCCCGATCGAATTTTTTGATGAAATTTTGTGAGCATGTTCTTCATGAAGTGTATATCATGTCTACCAAATTTCAGCTTAAAATTTAATCGGAGAGTCAGTTAAATGATTTTTTGAAAATTGTGCAGTTTATATATATATATATATATATATATATATAAGATGCATTTTTTTCCAATAATTTATTTAACTAACTTCCCGATTGAATTTTAATATGAAATTTGGTGGAAATCATATACCTTCATGGAGAACATGCTTAGAAAATTTCATCAAAAAATATGACCTCGAAGCACCTCAACTGAAAGAGGCCTAAAAGTTTTAAGTTTCAGGCCTACCTTACAAGAACATTACCATATATATATATATATATATATATATATATATATATATATATATATATATATATATATATATATATATATATATATAGATAAAAGGATAAAAAACAAAACACGGGAAAGAAATAGAAGATGAGGGAAAAAAAGATGATAATAGATCACTCCGCCACACGAATGCCCGCCCTCTACTTTGCTCTATCCAAAGTCATACCCTCTACTAATTACTGTCTAATTGTCTTTATAGTATAATTTTTAACTTGAGCAGATTATCCTTCAAGTTACTATCTTCCAGCTCCAACCCTGTCCTATATAGGATCTCGAGTTTGACAACATGACCAACAAGCACTTGTATGTTCTTAATCTGAGTGCTGCATTACTAAGTACTCACAATGCACAGGAATTTTATAACTTTTTTCAGTCTTTGTTCTTTCCTCTTATGTTGCTGACTTGGTTTTCTGACTCTCGTGTCTTTATTTAGAGAAATGAGTCCATTCATAGATGCAAGGTTTTCTAAGGTTTAGCGTTTTAGGAATCCGGAGTTCCTTGGCAGCACGTAGTTTGGAGCTGCTAATCTCACTGGCTCACTGCTGAGTATGCTCAATTTAATGGATTGAGTACCTGATACTTCCTCCGTCCCAAAATAAATCTCTTACTTTCCTTTTTTGTTTGTTTCAAAATAAATGGCTTTTATTCCTTTTAAAGATAGAGTTATGTAATTTATATTGTTTATTTCACTTCTAAATGAATCTCAATCACACAATTTCATGACTTGTGTTGCCTCAAAAAGCTTATGGTTTCATTCACCCATAGCAACTGGTATTAACGAAGGTGTGACTTTATTCCTTAAAGTGTAGCAAGCAATGTCACATTTTGAGTTTTGCTGTGACAACAAGTAATATGCTCACCTGATTTCTTAAGGTATAGAATCCAATGCTACTTTACGAGTGTTGTCGCAACAAGCAGGATGATGTCTTGATTTCTTTGGAGTTGCAGCCAGTGCCCCGTTCCGAGTGCTGTCACCACATCAAACAGCAGAAATGTTATTACTAAGTACTCAAGCAATACACAGGAATTTTGTAACTTTTTCCAGTCTTTGTTCTTTCCTCTTATGTTGCTGACTTGGTTTTCTGACTGTCTTGTCTTTATTTAGAGAAATAAGTCCATTCATAGATGCAAGGTTTTCTAAGGTTTAGCGTTTTAGGAATCCGGAGTTCCTTGGCAGCACGTAGTTTGGAGCTGCTAAGCTCACTGGCTCACTGCTGAGTATGCTCAATTTAATGGATTGAGTACCTTATACTTCCTCCATCCCAAAATAAACCTCTTACTTTCCTTTTTTGTTTGTTTCAAAATAAATGGCTTTTATTCCTTTTAAAGATAGAGTTATGTAATTTATATTGTTTATTTCACTTCTAAATGAATCTCAATCACACAATTTCATGACTTATGTTGCCTCAAAAAGCTTATGGTTTCATTCACCCATAGCAACTGCTATTAACGAAGGTGTCACTTTATTCCTTAAAGTATAGCAAGCAATGTCACATTTTGAGTTTTGCTGTGACAACAAGTAATATGCTCACCTGATTTCTTAAGGTATAGAATCCAATGTCACTTTATGAGTGTTGTCGAAACAAGCAGGATGATGTCTTGATTTCTTTGGAGTTGCAGCCAGTGCCCTGTTCCGAGTGCTGTCACCACATGAAACAGTAGAAATGTTGTTACACAGTCCAACTATCCCAGTTCAATATCGGCCATCCTTCTTTGCCTTTCATGGGATTCGAACTCGTGTCCTGCTTTGGTTCTTTTTGATAGACGTCAAGTGCTTAGTGCTACATCAAAAGCAATTTGTCTTTAATTTGCATGCCAAAAGAAAAAAGGGTGATATGCGTAAGATGTGTTGTAGTAAGTGGGCTTTGTGGGGGTAAATTTATGCTTAACTGGTCTCAGCAATCAAGAGACATTAGAAGAATTGGTCTAAGGTTCCTTCACTTGTCTAGCTGTGTTTGATGTAGTCATCAAACATGAGTTCCAAACCACCATTTTGATTTTCAAGTGATTTATCAAATACTCCAATTACTGTCCATTCTATTTGAACCCTCTCTATAAAAAAGCTATACCTTGGTTTACTTTTAGCTTGAAGTATGGTCACCTGATAGGAAAATATGTTCTTTCAGACTCATTTGTCACATTTTCCAGAGTTGCAGCAATGTCTGGTAGAAACCGTGTGCCGTCTCGCCAACATGATAACTATAGAGGATACCGTGATGGCCCACCTCCACCACAGGCTGTTATGCAACGAGGACCCCGCCCCCTCCCTCATCCTCATCCTGCTGCCCTTGAAGAGGAACTTGAAATTCAGCACAGAGATATGCAAAAAATTGTTTCTGAGAATCGGCATGTACTCGATGAGAATGTGATGCTTGAAAGGGAGTTGACTGCCACAAAAGATAAGATTCTTAGAATAACCCAATCCATTTCTAAACTGCATGCTGACAATGAGGCAGAAGCAAGGGAGTATATTGAAAGAGGATTGAGACTAGAGAGAGAGCTTCACTCTGCTGAACCTCTGCGAGAGGAAGTTGGGTCTTACAGATCTGAACTCCAAAAACTTACTGCTTTGCAACAGGAGTTAACTACCCAAGTCCAAAGTTTAACGAAGGATCTTAATAAACTGCAAAATGAGAACAAGGAACTCTCTGCCATGAAGACTGAAATTGATGGGATGCACAGAGAGCTTGATGAAACAAGGTTTAAGTCTGGAGTGTACTTTCATTTTTCGTGCAGAAGTCAGTTTCTAGTAAGTATGTTTTTCATGTATGATGTTTTGAGCAAATCTTCTCATACTCAAATTTGATAACAAATAGGAGAGAATTTGAACATGAGAAGAAAGAAAACAAGGGGATCATTGAACAAAACAAAGCAATGAAGAAAAATCTTGTCTCCGTGGCTCGTGAAATCGAAAGGCTCCGGGCAGAGCAGATGGCAGCAGATAGGAGAGCACGTGGAATTGGTGAAACTTTTATTATCATATTAAATTCCAATAAGATTTGAACTTGTGCATTTTTTAAAAATTTCAATAAGATTTGAACTTGTGCATTTTTTTAAAATTTCAATAAGATTTGAACTTGTGCAATCAAATGTTGCTTTATGTATATAATGTATAATTGCCGCTTTTGGTACCACTTTCAGGTGTTGGACCATATGGAATGTTGAATGGGAGTGTTGACGTGGGTTATTCGGATAGTTTGTATGGAGGCGATCCATATCATACAGGAGCTTGGGGACCCTATGACAGGAGAGGTCCCCCAAGGTGATGAGTTTTGTATTAAATCTCTGGGATAAGCTTCCCATACCCTTTGTTGGTGCAGAAGAAAACTTATAGTTATGGATTTCTCCTAGGTAACTTTCTTGTTGTGGTATAAATGTTTTAAGCATCAATCTGCTGCACTTTGTATCTCACTGCTCTTGGTTAGTTCAGCGGATTTGAGCCTGTTAAATAAGGTCAAATCACGACATCTTTGATTCGCGGAGTAAAACAATGAGCTTGTGTAGTGGCATGAAAAATTGCACTTGTGTTCCCTCGTTTATTCCATATTCTGATATATGGTATCTGTTTTTTAACATCGTTCCTCAATTGTGTATTTGTGTGACATGTTGCCAAAGTAGTCTTTCCCGCGAATCATTTAGCAAACTCTTTATATCATGCACGAGAGTGGCTATTATTACTGAATATTACATGTTGCATAATTATAGGGAGAGATTTGCACAACTTTTTACATTATTTGACAGTAGGATACTAGGATTATGGTGCACGATAAAATATTGACCAGAGCCGCAAGGCACAAAGCATGTGTGACTACTGACAAAAAAAATTCTAAAGCAAATGAAATAACGTAGAACAGAACCAAACCAAATAGTAAGCCCAAGGCTTGGTCAAGAGAGTACATTTGTCCCCTCCTAACTTCCTAAGTCCTAACCAATGTCAAATATGATATGCCAAACAATGTACTTAGGAGTGGACCAAGACCGGGATTGGGCTGGGCTCCGGGCTTGGGCTGGGCTCCGGGCTTGGGCTGGGCTCCGGGCTTGGGTGGGCTTCGGGTCCAAAATATTCAAGCCCGACACCGACCTGGGTTAGTACCTAGGGTTGGACCGGTTCCGGGCCAACCAGCCCGTTGCCTGGGCCGGTACTGTTTGTACCCGGCCCGGCTCGGTACAATTTGTACCCGGCCCGGCTTGGTACCTAGTCATAGGACCGGTCCGGGTGGCCCGAACCGGTTGTTACTTGAGGCGGGCTCGTGCCTGCTAAAATAGAAACCAGCCCGGGCCTTTTTTTGTTTTTTTATTTTTTATTTGTTTTTCTCGGGTTGGGTTGGGTGTCTTGGGGGGGTTTGGGGGGTGGGGGTCAGGGGGGGGTCGGGGTAGGCATGAACTCGGGCTGGGTCGGGCCCGGCTGGGCCGCCGGTTTGTAAGTGATGGGCCCGGGACCGGCCTGAGGTCTGGACGGTTCCGGTTTGGGCCGGGCCACCCGCCCGGGTCACGGGTCGGGCCACTCGCCGGGCTGGGCCGGTTAAATCCATTTTTTTTTTAAAAATAATTTATACTTTATAGTTTTATACAAGTATTAAAAACAAATTTCAAGTGCATTTATATGAAATGAAATAGGAATTACATTTGACAATTAAGAAAAAAATACAATATGAAATACATTTTGTAAATTGTAATCAATATAATATGCTCCAAACGGATAAACACACAGCAAGATATGAGTGTCACAAATACTTAGCCTTATCTCTATGTAAATTGTAAATTGTAAAATTAATAGCCGTTTGGGGGAATTGGGGCCTTGAGGATCCTTTGATTTCAAATTTTATTTGTTTATTTTACTTTGAATTTTTAAATAAATTACATAATGTAAAATTAATTAATTTGAGAAGTGCTACATATAAAAAAAATGAATGTATATTTATTTGAAATATGAACTACAAGTTTACAAGTTACAATTGAGAATTGAAGGTAAAATTAAAACATGAAATACTAATCAATCAGAATCTCCGACATAGGTAGAGTCACCATCGGTTGTAGATTCATCCATAAAGTGTTGGGATGAGGTGATGTCAATTTCTTGAGCTCTACGGACCACCAGACCGGGCTGGTCCCGGGCCCGCACAGTAGCGGCCCGGGCCAGGTCACGGACCGGGTGGCCCGAACCGAATCCACCCCTAGTCGGGGGGTAATTAGAAAAGCAAAAAGGAAAAAAAAACATTGAACCGCCCCGGCCCCGGCCCGGAATATAATTTGTTTTGGGTCATTTTATATTAATTCCATCCCCAAACCCCCCAAACTGCTCAGCCCCACCCATCTAGCACTCAGCCCAATGCCAAACAATAAAAAAAATTGATTGGGCCCAGACCGTCTGAGCCGATTCACCATTTATCAAGCTCGTAGCCTGCCTCTTTAATTCCCCGGTTCGGGCCCCAATCCCGGCCCACCGAGCTCGATCGGGTCTCGAGTCAGGCCGAACCGGCCCAGTCCACCCCTAAATGTACTGCCGGTATTTTGGGTCACCATTCACATTTAGGGTATGTTTGGGAGTTTGGAGGGAAGGGGAGGGGAAGACTTTGGAGGTATGTTGTTGTAGGGGAAGGGAGGGGAGGGTGAGGAAGCCCTTCTTTGTATTTGGGAGTAATAAAATTGGAAGGAGAGAGTTTTTGAAGGAATTATAATTAAAATCACTTTGAGATATGACGAATTCAAATCATTGAGCTGATATTCGTTTCTAATTTAGCTTAAATTAACATCTTGTTAATTATCCTCCAAAACTCTCTAAATTGGGGGAACTTAAAAATTAAGGGTGTATTTGGGAGTTGGTTTTTGGAGGGGAGGGGAAGGTTAATGGGGGTTTATGACCTTCCTTTTCATGTTTGGGAGTTTAAAAAATTGGAGGAGTGGTTTTGGAGGGCTTTTGTAACCCTTCAAAACCCTCCAAATGCTTAATTTTTAAGTTCCCCCAATTTGGAGGGTTTTGGAGGATAATTAACAAGATGTTAATTTAAGCTAAATTAGAAACGAATATCAGCTCAATGATTTGAATTCGTCATATCTCAAAGTGATTTTAATTATAATTCCTTCAAAAACCCTCTCCTTCCAATTTTAATACTCCCGAATACAAAGAAGGGCTTCATCATCCTCCTCTCCCTTTCCCCTACAACAACATACCTCCAAAGCCTTCCCCTCCCCTTCCCTCCAAACTCTCAAACATACCCTAAGCATTTGGAGGGTTTTGAAAGGTTACAAAAGCCCTCCAAAACCACCCCTCCAATTTTTTAAACTCCCAAACATGAAAAGGAAGGTCATAAATCCCCATTAACCTTCCCCTCCCCTCCAAAAACCAACTCCCAAATACACCCTTAAGATTCCTCAAAAGGCTTCGAGCTCAAGATATCAAGAGATCACAAGGATTTCCTGTTGATGGTCAATTGGTCATCTCTCAAGTCTCGGGGTGAGCTCTACTAATTGCTAAACAATTTCGCTTGGTAGAATTTTAGTTAGAACTTGAGCCACACTAATAGGTTGGGGCGCAGAAGCCAACAAAAAAACCAAGAAGTGCCGTTAATGTAGCAACATGCTTTTTTATACTCCCCTTAACTTAGTCCAGCATAATTATGAACCATTGAACCCACAATTCCCTAACCCAGTAGGACCAATATTAACATAGGTTTGAAGTTGTTATTTTTATCTTTAGTAAGAATATGTTATCAAGAAGAATGTCATAAATATTGTTTCTAGACTATGTGATAGATAAAAATATGATTAGTTCTTTCTAAATTGGATGAACACCTTCGAAACTCCAAGTATGTTAAAAAAATCTCCACCGTCCCCCACTCCTAGTCAACGCTAACAACCACCGTCTTGAATTTTCTTGAAAGATTTTTAAAAGTCTTTGGTGTCAATGGTCATTGATAGTAACACCGGTGGTTTTACTTGCAATGACATTAAAATTATCGATTTTAAGAATTTTTTGATCTTTCCGTTGGAGATGTTGAGAGCTCTCTCTCCCAAGAACACTTGCGTTTTTGGCTCTTCTCCCTACGGAAATACCTCATTTCATCCTCATTTCTTCTTGTTTGAGCTTCCAATTTAGTTATATTACATCTATATCTCTCGGTTTGTGATATCTCTAAGTTTTAAGCTTGATTTTGAAGTCTTTGAGCTCGAAAACCATAAATTCCCTTACGCAAAACATTATTCCTACGAGAAGGTCAATGCCATTTCCCATTGATTCTCTTGCTCAAACTTGAAGTGTAAGGTGGATTGAGACTCCCCTAGGTGTGGGGATCAAGCATATCAACTTTGTTTCATCATCCATCAAGTCCGTACAATTTGGTACTATTCATCAACGACTCCATTGTTGAGGTTCTTAAGCAACAAGAAATTTACCGAGGTACCTCCTTTGGAGGGGTAGCTCTTCCTAGCTTCCCCTTCCATGGTGTAACACTTTTTATCAACGAATCATCACCACATTCATCATTCCTAAGGCTACGTCAAAAAGAAGGATGCGCCATACCCAAAGCTTTCCCCAACCAAGTCATCTACTAGGCTTAGAGCTAAGGCTCAAGCCAAACAATTTGAACAAGCAAATTTGGTTATGGACCAAATTAGTGATACGGACTTTGACGCATCAAGTGCTAGTGAAACCGAAGACACTTCCAAGACCGAGCAAGCTCTACAAGAAACCAATGTTGACTCAAACTCATCGCCTCTTGAAAAAGAGGAAAATTTGATACAAGTTAGTGACAAAGAAAAGGAGACTATGGACCATGTGGCTAGCTCCTCGAAAGGAGTTAAGTATGGGGATCCTACGGGTGAAACATTGGTTAACACCGAGACCCAAACCCAACAGGGGGCAATGTTGATGATGTATATGTCGCGGCATTGGGCAGAACACTAACATGGAAGGACACGGATGCATCCAAGCCAAAGCCATTTGCTTCTCTTTTCAAAGACAATAAAGAGCCGGAGAAAGGTATGAATTTGAGGTATATTGAACCCGTAGGGGATTATGTTGATTTGTCTATGAGAGCTATGAAGCCTATGGTTGAAATTTGGGGTTATTGCCTAGTAGGATACTTTTTCGGAAGGTACCCCGGTTTTAAACCTATTCAAGAACTTGTAACCACATGGGGTGTCCAATGCCGTGTGAGAACACATGATAGAGGTTGGGTGATATTTAGGTTCCAAAATGAAGAGGATAGAACCAAAGTGCTCATGGAAGGCCCTTACTCTTTGTTTGGGAAATCATTGTATCTAAAGACACTATCTGAGGACTTTTCATTCCAAAGTGATGAGTTTCTAAAAGTACCCATTTGGGTAAAACTGCCTCATCTCCCTATGCAACTTTGGGATGAGGATGTTATAAGTGAGGTGGCTTCTCGGATTGGTATCCGATCCCTTTGACAACGGACCGAGTTACACAAGAGAATGCTAGATCACACTTTGCTAGAGTATTGGTTGAGGTGGATGCGGCAACCCCCCCCCCCCCCCCCCCCCCCCCCACAACTAAAAATCAAGATGCAAAATGGAAGGTTTCATTCTCAAAGTGTTATCTATGAGACTTTTCCTAACTATTGTTTTCAATGTAAGATGTACGGACACCATGCTTTCACATGTAAGATAATAGCCGAGCAAGAAAGAAAGGAGAGGGTGGAAAAACAAAA